AACATCCTATTGTATGTATCCTTGCTCTTCCAAATGAGAAGCCAAACCAAGAGAGCTTTCCTCTTTGTGTCCATTTTTGCCATTAACAAAACTAGCCACAACCAATGGTAGCTATTGCACATGTGATCACTCCATCACCAGGCTTTTGTGATGACTGTAATGCATTTCTTTGTGCCACTCTCTAGTTTGAAAGAGCACTCATGCTGTGATCATATCATCTGGGACAGATGGCAGAGATGGGAAAGATTCCCATGTTTACAGCTTGAAAGTGTTTGTGTCATTTGACAACCAACAATGGTTCTGTGATTGCAATTGTGCGTGGATTGAAAATAATGTGTATTGACAATATGGCACTATGTGCATTAAACGTGAGTTGGCAGACTTTTGGAAATGTGATGCCTTCATATTTCTTTGCCTTTTCACACACTATGGGATGTCGGAGGTTCTTGGAGGACTAGGATATTTGCGGAATAACTATTTAAGTCAAGTCAGAAATAGGTAACTCCATTAATTAACACGTGGCATTAATTCAACCCATTAAGACCGGATGCGACGTACAGGCATAGTATATGATTTTGTTGTTTTTAAGACATGTGACCAATGAAATGCACTGTGATTCACTGAAATTCAGGTCAGGAAATGGAAAATGTAGTTTGTCTATTTTTTTTTTTTATGGTTTTAGCTGCAAAAAGGTTTTTAAGTCGCTGTTCAGATAATGGCTAATGACCTGAGCAAGGGGAACGATAATGAAGCAGATTAGAGCCATTACCTGGTGGAAAACAACAAATACCACTTAGAAAGTTCAGACACTTTATTTCAACCTGCTAACCTGCTAACCAGCTAGTCAAGGTTTACGGGGGAAACATGTCAGAAGAGGAGGAGGAGGATCGGCGAGCAAGTATCACTGCTAGCCAGATGTAAAGTTTCACCCGATGCAACGCCGTCACTAAAACTTTATTACTCAGCCTCTGAATCAGATAGAAATGTGAAATAAAAACCATTTGAGAACTTAAACCTTTGGCTTTTATTGTAAATCATCGCCTCTACCCTAATATTCATCAACAAAAAAATATGAATAAGTGTTATGAAGACTGTTGACAAATGAGCTTGTTTTTCCAGCCATACACAGTTTCAAAGGCAGAGGTAATGATTTTCAACAAAAGTCAGATATTTCAGCTCTCAAATGCTCTCATGTTTCTAACTGCTTCACAGGCTAAATAATAAAGGTTTTACTGAACATCAAGCTTTCAGAAAACCCAAACGCTTTTAGGAGGTGGTTTTCAGACAATGCTGAGGTTTAAGAATGTTTTTTGTTTTTTCAGAGGGCGCCACATCAGTGGGTTAATGTGTAAGTGTCGGAAGATCTCCGTCATACTTGCTCCTGATTGAAGGAGGCTGCATGTTCAGTATTACCTCACATCACCAGTGACTACACCAGGTCTTCACAGAAGAAAAAAAAAAAAAAAGCGGATGGAGCCAGAGAATTTATGGAGATGAGCCGAGGTGTGAGGCAGACACAGAGCTAGGTGGAGTCACAGAGGAGGTGATCGTGGAGGGGGGATTAGAGGGTAAGTGGGAGAAGAGGGAGGTTGGTAGTGGCAGAAGGGGAGCTAGCAGTCACAGCAGCCCATAATTGTTCTTCATGCCTGGGTCACCCGCGAGCCACTGCCTGGTCTGGTCCCAGGAGGCACAGAAGTGTATGTGTGAGTGAAGAATGAGATGTACAATTTGAAACCCAGGAATAGGTCAGAGAGTGAAAGAATGAATGTCAAACTCAGGCAGAGGTCGCAGTGAATTCTTGTGTGTGTGTGTGTGTGCGCGCACGTGTGCGTGCATTCTGCTCTTACAGTACACAACGTGCATATCATGTCACCTGTTTGTTTTCTGTATGTATATTAATTCCTTGACTAGAAGTGTGCGACTACATGTTTCCATCTTATGCGTGTGTGTCTGTATGAAACAGATATGTTTAGATTTGTGTGTGTGAATGTGTGTGTCCTCAGTTTCAGCCCAGCCAGAGGTCAAAGGCCACGCTTGAAGGACTGCGACAGCATCTCAAACTCCACACTACTCCTCGAAAATGTTTTATTCAACCAGCCTTCCTCGTTCCCCTGAGACTAGTCAGAGAGAGGGAAGAAGGAAGGAAAAACAAGTATCTGGAAAGTACAGTGAAGAATGTCAAAGATTCTTTTTTTTTTCCTTTGATTTTCTCCATTTTTTGTCCTTCCTCTCACTCAGACAAAGACCCAGTTTTGTTTTGTCTACCCAGAAAATGAAGAACATCCAATGTGATCGCAGGCACTTGGACACACTCCAATCCTTCCATCCATCTCTCCATTTCTCTCACTTTGTCCTCAACTTTGCACCATTCACAATCACAAACTTACATATATTATCTTGTTTTTTTGAACAGGGTTCTTTGTATCAGTCCAGTGAGAGAAATGTCAGATACCACAGACTATGTACACTATAACTGAGACAGCTTTCAATAGAAAAGTTATAGAATTTATATCTCACTGAGGAAGATAATATATTAGAGGTGTACCTGACATTACTCAACAATTGTCAGCTATAACCATGACATTCAAAAGAGGTTATATAGTTGAGCTCGTATGGTAACAAACTTCTGGTGAGTGACATCAATGAAAGAAATCCGACAAGCATGTTGCATGAGCTAACCTACAACTGACTCCAAAGCTGGTTCCAGCTCCAGGTTTAACTCCCATATGTTACACACGTGCTAAAACTCAGGCCTAATGAGATTGTATTAGGCTGATTCAATAGTAATTTAACAGTAACAGTAATTATTTGGTTGACAGGACATACCGAACAAAAGGTCACTACTTGTTGTTTTTGCAAACCCTGCTAATACGCAGACTACGTAAGCATTTGGACACAAATAAGAGGCTAGTACAGGCAGAGCCTCATTAGTGCTTTATCTTAAAGTGCTGATGGCTGTTCATTAACCCCCTCCAAACCTTGCTGGTCGCCCCCAGTGTCTAACTAAGGAGTTTCCCCCTTGTCTCACATGCAGTTCTTTCAATGTTGATGCAAACCTTCACAAACTGAAGCTGAGACATGGCACTTTAATGTAGTAAAATGGCACTATAATAAAATAAAGGTATTATTTTTAAGTTGAAGTGTGGTCCCCAAATACAAACTCACTGCAACACAACTGATTGCACCAGTGATTTCCAGTTAAGATTTGCACGAACGAGGTTATAAAAGAACGTGTGGACACCACAGCTTCATCAGTTCTGTCCTGGGTTATGTCTAATGCAACATGACTCCACATGGAGAGGAACAAGCAAGAACCCACACTGTGAGACTTCATGAAGATGTGAGGGGGTACAAGAGCATCAGCAGGCTACTGAGCGTAAACTGAAACACAGCTGCAGCACTGGTTAGGACGTACAGGTGAAGAGGCATCCTCCAAATTGACGCATTGAAAAACAAGACGGGTGAGTCGAGTGCTTCTGACTCAAGACAATGATTATCTGTGGAAGCTGGTGTTAGTGAGAAGGACACTGCAGGAAGTCAAGAAGAAAACCTCTGCTCTCAAAACAACACAAAACTGCAGGTTAAACTTGGAAAAGAAGCCTGATGGATGTTGGCAGCTCATTCTTTGGTCAAATGAAACCAAAATAACTGAGCTGGGATCCAATGGGGGTGCAGGATGTTTGGCGTGGACCTGGCCAGGATTACCACAGTGACTGTGTAGTGCTGACCATTAAACATGGAGGTGGGTGTAGGGATGTCACGGTGAAGAAATTTCCCCTGCGGTGATTTAGGATGGCTCAATGTGACATGCGATATCTGTCAGGACAGAGCAGCAGGCTTCAGCACCTTGTCCCAATCATTGTTTTCCTATGTATGTACACACTCAGTGTGTTCTGGTTGCTGAATCTTGAAAATGAAATGCTCTTTCATGTGTATCACAGAGGAGTTATCTCAGTTGGTTATTTTCTGTGCCGTAGTGCCGACAGTTGGATAAACATGAACATGGCGTGGTTATGGCGATTGCTTGTGATCCACTGCGGTTGGCCTGTCTATAGCGCAATATTTCAATATTGAGGTTATTGCGAAAGGCCACCGTGTGCTGATAGGTGAAGAGGAGAATACATTTGTAGATGGTGCCAATGATGTGAGTTTGTTTATCCAAATACTGAATGAAAAAATCACTCCCACCCTTCAGTCTTCCCTAACACACTGCAAAAATCACACAAAACAAGACAGAAGAGAAAAAGTGAAAGCTATGCCCTGGCCAAGTATGTCCCTGACTTGAATCCAATAGAAGACATTTGTAGGAGTTTAAAGTGGAAGGCAGAGCAACAAAACCCCTCCAGCAAAGAGCAGCTGAAAAGAAACGTCTGTGTAGAATGACAGAACATCTCTCCACAGGTTTGTGTATCATCCAGGCCCAGAGGATCTAATGTGCCATCAAAAACCAGACATATAGAATATATAAGGATAAAAGAACTGAATCTCACTTATGAAGTTGGTTCTTAAATATTTCATAATAGTTTAATAAGTCAAAAGGCTATGGATAAAACCAAACAAAATTGTAATAAATGGACAATACTTGTAAGAACTTGTGATATTGCCCAGGGGTTTATTCAGTTTTTTGGATGCTGTATATTCCTCTACTTCATCCCCAGAATTCCCACCTGCCTTCTTCATTATAGCAGTTCACCATGAGTCCTCTCCCTGCCAGACAGGCCCACTCTCCCCTTTGAAGGACATTGGTTAAATTAATTCAATAAAGGAGAGTCTATGACAGTTTACTTTGATATGATCCTCAGAGAGTGTGTGTCTGCGCGTAAAGAGAGGTCACGTGTTTGTGAATATGCTTGTGTGTGTGTGTGTGTGTGTGTGTGTGTGTACTTACATCATGGGAGTCTCTGCAGACTCCCTGTGTTGCCACCTGCCTGCAGTGATAAGCAGATGATGAAAGCCTGTGCATGCGTGTGTGTGTACCTGCCTACATGCGTGCGTGTTACCTGAGCCTGCTGTGTGTTGTTGGCTGAGGGGAGAGGGTTGGAGACCATTGGTCCAAAGATGTCCAGTTCATCGCTGATTGGTGGAGCACTGGCCAAGCTCTTTCCTCCACCTTCTGGAGCATCTATGAGAGATGTAGAGACGTATTTCCTTTAGTACAAATAACCTCAAATATAATTTGATTTAATTTAAAGACAGTGTGTGTATCTCCAAAAGTTATGACAGAATCAAAGACATTCAAGTGATAAAGCTTGAAGTTTTATTCCTTCATACACAGATTTCTCTGCACACTTAGAAAAAGTTGTATTTGTGAAAACTGTATTTTCATTTAAAATCAATATTTAAAGGTTCAAGAGCAGCTTCTAAATGGACCTTTTGAAGAGATTATTTATTATTCAATAATGAACTTTGAACATCAGCTCTAACAAAGCCAAGTCGTCCTTTACTTGCTCTGAAAAAAATGGAAATTTGAGCTTCTTTTCTATGACAACTATGCGAAATCCAAGATGAAGAAAATGAAGATTGTGTGAATTTAAAGCTCCAGAACAGCTATTAGATGGACCTCACACTGTTTTCACAACCAATATTTAACCAACAGTTAGGACATTTAATTACTTTAGTTTGATTAAAAACTATGTGAGACTTATAATAGACCAATATCTATGTATTACATACATTACAAACACTTGCCTTGTTTCAATCCAAATGTAGCAACAATCTTACCATTGTGTGAATATTAGGAGTTGGTTTATCGAGATTAACAGTTGGTGGCACTGGTTCCCCCAGTCGTGTGCAATTAAACAACTGCAGAGGAAGAGGGTGCAACTAGGTGACATCATTAAAAGAGCCACGGTCAAACCTCAAACAAAGGTAAATTAATTAGCGACGGAAATGTAGCATTAGAGTGAATGTTGTAGTCATACACTTCATGATTTATTCGCTTTATTCTGTTTCCATTGCATTTTGTTGCATTTTGCTTGTATGGAAAAAACATTTTTCCACCTCAGCCAAACATAAAAGCACATTAGCTAAATTTATCTTTAAAGGGTCTGTAAATGATCGTCACTGCCACTAGATGTCGCACTGGACCACCAACATTTCAGACCAAAAGAAACGCTTCGTCAGCTACAAATCCTGCTCCCTTCAGTTCTCAGTTCTCTGCAAAGTGTCACGAAGCCCAGTCAAAGCACCCACTCAACACACAACAAGAGGCATAACTGAATAAAGTTACTCTGTGTACAGGAGAGCCAGCAAAAAACAATCGGGCCATAACAATTAGCTCGTGCTAGAATTGACGTGATACGCTCCAGCCAGGTAGTGATAGCAATATTTGCCGAACACATTCATAATATGGTTAAAACCAAGTTAGCTAATGTTATCATGCCTATACTATAGCCAGTTACTAATGATAACAGACATGCAGCCATCAAACTATTTATGCATGGAGGAGAAGAAAAGCCAGTTCAGAGTCAAGCTGTACCCTTTAGCAGCTGGTAGGGTTTTCCTCTCTGTAAAGCCAGATGAGTATTGGCTCCATGGTCGGATTGGGAAATAAATTCAGCCACGGACTTATCTGCTGGGACCAACCGCACGATTGACACTGATGGAGCCGGTAAAAACTTTATGAATGTTTTGACAGCCCACCAGCCGACCGTGATTTGAGCTGGTAGTCTCCATGGCCTGTGTTCTGGTCTGATCTCTTTCTTTGTCTGAGGCCTTTTTTGCCAAAAACATTGTTTCTTCAGCGGAGAAAATTGTGGAAGCTCGAGTTCACCTGAACGCTGTATAATGCACTGTGCCATCTCACCTGTGGGCGGAGCCTGTGTGTTTATGAACATGGAGGGGACCAACAGTTTCATTGGAGGGACTCATGCACTCACTTGCATTAAAAGTGTCCGGACAGGGCGCCCAAACAAAGCATTACTCCACTATATCCTTACATAGAAAATAGTTGTTTGATGCTGTATTATTGTTTAAATTACAGAACTGTTACGGAAAGACTGTCCTGTGCAGACAGAGACCCATTCTCATCTGAAGGACCCCCCGTCGGTACACCATGTACACTCATCTGAGAGTAAGTGAGAGAGGCAGACAGGGGGAGGAGAGGAAGTGTGTGAAAGGAAAAAGAGAGTGAACTGGGTGTGTGTGGGAGAACAAGTGAGCAGCGGAGGTCATTTATATAACCACAGTGACGAAACATCCATAATTTAGCCCTTTTAAAGTGTGAACAAGACTGAGCTCCTTTAGCTAGACAGCAGGGTACAAGGAAAACCATTTACTGTGAGAAGTCCAGAAAGACTCCTCGACATCCTTCTAAACCACTTATTAAAACTCATTTTCAAAGAATTACTTTGACTGTGGTGTCTTTCATGCTAATTCTAACTATTGATTTTTTTGCCTTCTATCCGTCTTGTGATGCCTTCATGTCAGAGCTTGGCTTTTATTTTGACTGTTAAAAATCTCTTTGTAAATTGCTTTAAAAAAGTGCTTTAAGGATAGAGCTATGAGTTATGAGTATGATTATGAGTTAAGGCGAGAATGATAGGTGTACATACTGAAATACAACACACAGATAAGATTTCATGTGCATTAATTACCCTACCCCCCAACCCCCACTACAAAAAACTCCATTGCCATGGTAATGAGCCACAGGGAGAAAAGGGCCCATCATTCTCATCATCATCACTGCCACGGCAGGCAATGTGCCCACCAGCTTTTATTATGGGATGGAGCCACTTCTTGAGAGCGCTCTCAACTTCACCAAGGAAACAGACCAATAGTTCAGCCTGGGGGTGTGTTTTATAATCACCCTGCACCCCTTTGCCCCAAGTACACACACACACACACACACACACACACACACACACACACACACACACACACACACACACACACACACACACACACACACACACACACACACACACACACACAGGACTTCCCAGTACCTTCAATGAATACAGTGACCTCATTTAGCAGTAGAAGCTGTCACATTAAGGACTTGGCCAGCACAACAAGGGCTAAAATATCTCATTTGATTAAACCCTGGATTGATTCTAATGCAATAACCAAATACGATTTTACATGTGGAAACATTCTGTGATTATTTTGTCCCAGTGTTCAAAAATGCTGTTTCACATGTTTTCCATCCTGTCAATAATAAAAGTTCATTGGTTTTGGTCTTTGAAGTGTTCCTACAGCCATAAACCAAAAGATATGTTAATCTAACCCACTTTTTTTTCTATAATACAAATCACAACTAGGGCATGAAATGAAGCTTGCTGGCTCCCCTGCTTGTGATTCTGGGAGAGGGGATATGAGCCCAGTTGGTGACCAAAGTCATTAGCTTCCTGGTGGAAAGAGTCATTATAAAGAGCGAAGTGAAGAAATTGGACACAAAATTACCTGCTATAGGTAGAATATGTTTGTTTACAGGAGATAAAGGACCTAAGACAACGCCTCTCGCGGTGCAGTGATATGAAATGCTGAACAGAAGATATATGAGGTTATAGTCTGATGTTGGTGTTTTGATGCAACTCAAAACATTATTCATGGATTTGCAAATGGAGCCTGTGCAGCAGAAAAACAGCCTGCATTTCCACAATTTTGAACATTGAATCATTATGTAACCAGAGTGAGACTTCTGTGCAAACAAACATCAATCAACAGACAGAGATGAAGGATCGCTTGCTTTTAAGTTTATTAACACATGGATAATGGCGAAGGCTGGCAGCTGCCCTGCAGCCCCAGACCCCCAAGGAGGTCCACTGCATTTATTTTAGCTCAAATAGTGCATATTCTTAAATGTTGTATTTCATCCATATTAAACTTGGGACAGTTTTATTCCTACACAGGGGAGCTACTTGGGTTCTAGGTCTTGGGCCTCATAATGATACTGTGGACGGGAACAATGCAGCAACAGGATACATAAACAATCCACTAGGAGCCATAGGGGCCATAAGGGGGACGATAAGGGCACATTTTTGCCCCTTTAAGGTGAATCCAGCTTTGTTTATAATGTGTCCTCTCTAAACTGGCTAAATTTTTATATGCTATTTAGATGTCAAAAACATTTTCAGGTCATTTCTGTAACATCTGAAAACCTCAACAAAAGAAAAGAGGCTTAATTTGTTCTCCTCTGTCTTTGATGTTGTGGTAAATGGCTGCATTTATATGCTGCACACTCAAAGTGGCGGTGAGCTACCATGTGAGGTGCTAGCTAACCATCAGGAGCAGTTTAGGGCTCAGTGTCCAGCCTGAGGACAGTTACCTGCAGATTGAACCGCAAACCCTGTGACTAGCAGTGGATCTCCTGTTTCACCTCCTGAGTCTCAGCCACATTCTGTTTTGGCCAGCTGTGTATCATGGTCACAAAGCAAGCAACCAGTGCCTCATTGCCAACATCTGGTACAGACTGGGACAGAGGCAGCCCCGCTGCTCTGCTGTGCTGTTTCCGGGGCTACAGAGTCCAGTCTGAGTCTCAGCTGCTTCCACCTCCATCCTGTCTCCTCCTGCTCTCTGTGTCCACCTGCACCATGGTCTCATAAAACCAAGCTCACTATTTAAATCCTCTTACATCAATATTTGATGTTTCTGTTGTCAGACAACTGGACGAATTTAAAACAATGATTTTAACTGTGGGACATAAGACTACCTGTTAACTAGGCAGCAACAGTAACACCTTCACTTTGTGCAAAGGCAATCATCAAATCAGTATTTTATGATCATTAAGTTGTCAGACAAAATAAAAATAAAGCGTAAAGGTATCCTGAGGCTCTTTTTACAGTTCTACTTGTACAAGTTGGCCTGCATGTTTGAATTTTGCAGAACTCAGGAGGTACAGTGGATCTGATCGACCAATCAGAAGGTCAGTGGTTTGATCCCCGGCTCCGGGGATGCATATCTTCTGCTACTGTGTAGGTAATTATTTTTACTATTTAGCCTATATCGTTCTTCAATCTTCTATTTATCTCAAGGGCAGATGTCTCATTTCGGTAAATATAATTATCAGACGGGACTCAAGAGTGGGGCCATCGTGACATCCCTATTTCATAACTTGACTGGTGCACAGACTGAGGCAAGGCTGGTGTCATTGTTTTCCACACACAGTATGTGTTTCAAGAT